TTGTACTGTCTTTTTGGTGCATCACTGTCAAAGCCATCAATAGCAAATACTGAAAAGATACTTTGTATGTCTTTCTCCTGTGGTCTAAAGTTATTTGTATCTTAAGGGTACAATCTGTTCTTACACTGGCACATTTACAGTAAATATCACCATTAAACTCTCTTCCCTTTTTTCATGCATACAGAGGAAGAACTTTGTTATAATTATTCATTTTGTTTTACTTCCCCAAACTGGGGATTATATTTTTATGAATCCATTTTCAAAAGATCTTTAACATATGAACATAGATTCCTTACATTGGGCAAAGTGATAAATCTATAATATATAATTTCTCACCAGTGACAGCCATGAACTCAGATTGGAATTCTGAAGTTCCTACGTACAAATAGTTATTTGGCAAGTATAGTAATAAAAAGCATGGGTTTTTTTTCCATGTTAAGTATTTTCTTTTTAAAAAATAAGGGCTAAATACCAAAACAATGTTATAAAACCAATTAAGAAGAAAGAAAACAAGATTAGAGGTGTTTCTTGAATTATTTATTGTTATGCACTGTTGCAGAGCCTTTAAATAAGTAATTAATAAACTTCACAGCAACTCTCTCTTTCAAGTTGTTTATTTAATGCAGTTTTGTGATGTACAAATATTAATCTGAAAGACTTTCAATAGAATAATCATGTATACAATAAATCTTCAATAGAAGGATAATATAATCTATACTTAAACATTCATGTAGCTTTTTTTTAATCACTCTATTACAAGAGTTGATTATTTGAGAATAGTGCACATTCACATTGCTTTTGGTTTGAATTTAATGCATGCCATTACTCTACATTTGGTTAAAAACTGAGTTGACACTCCCAAGTAATGCCTGCCTTCCTTCCTTCCTTCCTTCCTTCCTTCCTTCCTTCCTTCCTTCCTTCCTTCCTTCCTTCCTTCCTTCCTTCCTTCCTCCCTCTCTCCCTCCCCCCTCCCTTTTAATGTCCTTTCATCCATCCATGTATCTCAGAGTTCAATTTGATAATAATAATAATTTTCCACTCCCCCTCATACAGGTACACTGCAGCTTGGACGATGTAGGGACCAAGCCTATTCACAGAAGCTCCACCCATTCTGCCTCTGGCAATCCTTCTTGGCTCCTACATTTCTAGTTCCAAGCTTCATTCTGAATGTAGAAGAAGGAATTGATTTTCTCCAGCTGTGATAAAGGAAATTATGGAAAAGAATGGGGCACTGAGTTGGACTTGTGAAAAAGAGGATATTGATTTTAGATTAGGATTTCCCATCATCATCCCCCCTTCTTAATTTTTTACAACTTTTTACATCTTCCAAACAAAATATCTCTTTTACTCCATCTGCTGTTTTGCACATGTGCAAATGTACATGTGGGTTTTTTTTTTGTTTTCCTAGCAATCTATTGGCAATTTTCCCATCAGCTCACTTATTTTTTATCGTTCTACCTCACCCCAGTGAATCTTGCAATAATTCTTTCCCTCTGTCCCATCAGGTGCATGTACCTGTCTTCCAATCCATTAGACTTTCATATACCAGTCTTCCAACCTATTAGATTATCATTTGAACATTACTGTATTTCTAAGATGATATTTTCCTTAAACATTTTATATTTATTCTTTCCTCTTGAATGTTTTTCATGTTCCCACTCACCTCCAATTAGGGAGCCCAAATTTTAGTTCACACATGTTAAAACCTGGAGGGTTACATGCAAGTTGAAAATTTATCTTCTATAAATGCTGCAAATATTAATTATTGTTAGTAAATATCTACCTCTTACAGACATACTTACAGAATGATAACATTGGGCAAACAGGCCCTTGGAGGATTAATTGGATTAAGTTTTATGGCTTTGGTTAGCAGAGCTGATTCATCATTACATTAGTGTGAGGCACACAGTTTTTAGTATATTGAATAGTATATATATTTTTTGCCAATCAATGGGGACATTTGCAGAATTTTGTTCTGTAGGGAAGGGGTCCCCAAACCCCAGTCCATGGACTGGCACTGGTCCATGGCATGCCAGCAGCAGGGGCATGCAAACAAGCGAATTTCCATCCGTGGGATGCAGCAGTATATAAAACCACGCCCCCTCCTGTCTGCAGAAAAACCCTTCTCCACAGAACCGGTCCCTGATTCCCGAAAGATTGGGAGCCACTGCTTTAAGGTGGCTTTATGCAATGCAACTTGGAGAGGGCTATCATATTCAGGGGACAGAAATGGTAATCATTATGAATTCAGCATTATGTGCAAAATGTAATTAAAATTTTACACCCAATTATTTGTTCTCTAGAGAACTATATGGTGGATAATTGATTCTATCTTTATAATATCTAAATTAATTAGGTTTAGTTGCAACAACAAAAATATTTAAATAAACATACATTCTCTCTAAAAAGCTAGAATCAGTCACGGGAATTGAAATGATCAAAATGTACAGTATTTATCCTAGAAAGAAGACAACACTGCAATCTGAATGTTTTCCTGCCAAGATTAGACAAGCACATCTGCCCATTCTTACAAATGATCATATTATTGTTAAAATGTATAAACTTAAGATGAGCTTTCATTTTAAAGATAAATTATGTGAAGAAACACTCTTCTGATAAATACACTGTACATGCTTGTTTGTATTATCTGTTTAAAGATAAAAAAATGTTTTCATAAAACATTGTATGAGCATTATGTCACATACAATGCATCATCATAATATGATGATTTTAATAGACTTATTAATGCTTGAGGTAAACATATTATCCGCCGGCAATTTTTATGATGTCACTAAGTTGCTATTTTATACATTGTACCAGGGAACACTTCCTTTCTTAAATTTAATTTTTTTTAAAAAGTACACTGCTTTTCATGAATCTGGAACTAATAATAGATACTAAATTAATACAGAATAAATCATTAATACTGCAGCCAATTTTTATCACCATACTACAAAAAAGATGTTGAGACCTTGGAAAAAGTTCAGAAAAGAACAACTAAGATGATCAAAGGCCTGGAGACTAAAACATATGAAGGATGGCTGCAGGACTTGGGTTTGGCTAGTCTAAAGAAAAGAAGAAATAGGGGAGACATGATAGCAGTATTCCAGTATTTGAGAGGCTGCCACAAAGAAGAGGGGGTCAAATTATTCTCCAAAGCACCAGAGGGCAAGAAACAGTGGTTGAAAACTGAGAAAAGCAACCTGGAATTAAGGAGAAAGTTCCTAAAGTGAGGACAATTAACCAGTGGAACAGCTTGCCTCCAGAAATTGTGGGCACTCCATCACTTGAGATTTTTAAGAAGAGACTGGACAGTCACTTGTCTGAGATGGTATAGGTTCTCCTGCTTGAGTGGGGGGCTGGACTAGAAGATCTCCAAGGTCCCTTCCAGCTCCTATTCTATTCTATTCTATTCTATTCTATTCTATTCTATTCTATTCTATTCTATTCTATTCTATTCTATTCTATTGTTGAAAGTTTGTTATTATGCTACATTAAGCTATAATAATTTGTAAGATGAAGTTCAAGAATTCATCAAAGTGGTTGTTAAAAACTTAAATTCTATGTTTAGAATATTAAAATGAAGATTAATCTTAATGAATCTTTACTTTGATATGCTAAAAAGTGGAACTTTAAGTTATTAATAATATAATATACTAAAATACTAAAAGTTATACTAAATTTTAATATACTTAAAAATAATAAAATTTTAATCTAATAAAAGATATTATCTGCTATTAAAAACAAAACACATTTTTCAAGAAGTAATGTATCACTCAACTGTGAGATAATATGTCTGCTCTTCACCCCAATGTGTCAACTTTTCCACGGAATCACCTAAAAAGCTAACATGGAAAACAACAATATAATAAACTCATTCATCATAATGTGCAAAAGAATGCATTGGTATAAAATGTAATAGCCTTCAACAACTAGGAGTTTTTAAAAGTATTAATTTCAATTCCAGATAATTGGAAAGGACACCTGGGCAATCAACAATACTTTTGTTGGATTGTCCTGTCAGGAACTTCTATTGTCTTTGAAGTCAGAGGCAATTGTTTAGCACTAAATGACAGTGAATCTTACAAACATCTTCTGATATTATTGCCATAAATTTCCAAGCCAAACCTTATTCAAGGTCAGTTGCTAAAGAGGGCAGGTATCAACATAGTTTTCATGGATTCTCAAGCAGTCTTTAAGTTTTATACAAATAGACTTTGGTTGTGTCCTGCCATTAAATCTACTTAATGGACTTACACTATAAATTCTCTTCAGTTTTATGATGTTCCATTTAAATCCACAGAATGTAAGAAGATTCCCCCTTTTTTAAAAAAAATAGAAGCAACTGTGGTTTCTACTTATACTTTTTGTAAATAACACTGCAATTTAAAGTGATGACTATCTGTAATTGAGAAGAGAAATGTATTTTGCATTACAAACAAACAAAGTGTCTATGAAATGAAGGGGGTAAAGAGCCATAACAAAGACAGCACTGAACAATTATATTAAGTGGATATATATATATATATATATATATATATATATATATATATATATATATATATGCTTTATAACCTCTTTTGATACTCTGCCTGAATAAATAATCAAGGACATAGGTATCTGAAGCAATGTTACTGCATTTCATAAAGTTGATCCCTAGCAATCTTGGAAGGCTCACATTGACAATATGAATCCATGGAGCTTAAAAAGAAAAGCAGACAGACTAGCAAGAAGAAAGAGATGTACTGAGAATTATGTTCGTTTTGAGAGAAAAAAAAAATAGAAATTCAAGAAGCTACTTTTGAGTCTTTTTACATTTCCCATCTCCCAACAGCTTATCTCTGAATGAAAATAAACCACATCTATAGTCTTTTAAACCCTCCTAAGGTTACCATGGTTTAGTGCATGCTAAAATCCTTCACTTTCCCCATTATTTCCCTTTCATCATTGCAGGACTTTTTCCAGGCTCTTCAAATGACAGGTTTTTTCTCTTTATTTAGATGCCACGTCACTACCTATACAACATCCTTGAGATCTCACATCATCATACAATCCATCCGGGGCTTTCTGTCATCCCTCTTCAGGATAATCACAACACCCTCCTTCTATGACATCTACACATTTTTCCATTTGATGGCACAGAGGCAACATTCTCTTCTTCTGATTTGTTCTCAGAGATTACACATAATATCCAAGGTAGCTTCAAATCTATCTGGGATGCAAAATGTTCTTCTCACCAGTCGGTGAAAGGTGCCACTGTGTGCTTTCAACTACTTCAAGTTCCCTTCTTTCCTTTGCACAAGACCTCAACAGTGCAACAGGAGGAAGCCAAAGGTTGGTGCGCTGGAAAGTGCCCTGCCATGCTGCCAACTAATTAATGGAGGAAGCTTATTTCCCTTCTGTTAGGTCATGTTATGTATGTTAAGACTGCAGGATCCACTGTGGGTAGGTCACCAGGACCCATCTTCAAGGAACTTCTCTGTCATAGAGAGGTTTTTTGCAGAGAAAAGTTCCCTGAAGATGGGCTCCAGAACATTATCCTGGGACACGTATATTTGCCTTCCTTCGTACGTTAAGACTGTCCAATAGACAAACATGTATGCATAAACTGTTATTATACATCTTGACTGTAGTGAAAATTCTCTATGTAAAAAAAAATAGAAAGATATGTCAATTCCCACAATGGGAGAATGGATGGAAAAAGTGATGGAGCTGAACTGTTTTAATTAAGGAAAAGAATTTATCCAGTTTTGTTTCTACTTGGAGACAACTTTTTTGTGTTCGAAATGGGGGAAAAAATGAAACGTTGACTTTGGTTTTTAATGATTAGTTTGCTGCTATAGAAATGACTAGTATTTACTGTGTAAAAGTAAAATATTGTATATATTGTATGTATCTACTGTGCTGAAAAAAGTGGGAAGTCACTGCTTCTTTTCTCTCCCCTGTACCTCACCCTCTTTCCCCCCTTCTTTTCCCTTCCCCATTCTATTATCTTTATTTCTGTTTGTATTTTATATTAAGATACACTTGAATAAAAAATTTATAAAAAGCAAACAAACACATATACATAAACATGGCTTTGCAGTATGTAGCAGATGGAGAGGGCATCATAACTCTTGGCTGCATTCTTAATTTCCTTCCCAAATAGAAAAGGAATACAAAAAAAGTAGCAGACAAGTAAATGAGTTCTCATTTGCTAAATAGCTTCAGGCTGCACTGTAGACTCGCTAGATATATCACCACATTATCAGGTTGATTCACTCCATCTGCCCCTCAGAGCTGGTCTCCTGACAATGGTAGGGTCTGACGTCTTTGGTTGGAGTATATGTGAAGCAGCTCCACTCTCCTTTCTCTCTGCCCGAAGTTTCCTGGAATTGTGCAATTCCATTCGGTCTGATCCTGTCTATTTTTACGGATAAATATTTATTCCAAAAATATGCATATGATTGTGCACAGTGGCTTGCCACAGTTGTGTAGAAGAATTGTTCAGAATTCCCATATCTCTGAAAATAAATTCTGGAGTATAAACCCCTCCCCCTAATATATAGGATTTTTTTGAAAAAATCATTATTTGGCATTAGATTCCATATTTTAATACATAAGGGAACATTTTATGCTGGAGTACTTTGGGTTAGTTCTAGTTCATGAATAAATAATATGGGATTCACATATTAAATGTACTTTACCAAATAAAGTATGCTGATTTAATTGCACAGGAATAAATAAAATCCTCCCCCCCCCCACCGTCCACCATGTTTTGGAAGGAACAACAATATAACAATTGCAAAAGAAAAGTGGTGCCTTACACCCTTCCCATAGCAAGCTCTCTTATCTTTGCTGAAATTCAAAAGTAGGTCACCCAGCTTGTTTCCAAAACACCACACTGATTTCTGAACAATTTTACAGTGAGGCTCCCTCTGTCCCTCTATACAGATATTTTGAAAGGGGGGGGGGATAAGTGAGCGGGAAATAAAAGGAGAATGATCTGTTGTTGGACATTATTTTTAGCTTTTAAATAAATCTGTCATGCTATTGAAGCTCAGCCTAATGACAATAATTATATAGGCTCTGAAGAAATGCGATTAGGTGAGCTCGGAAATCCATAGCAACTATTGTTACTCATTTTCTTGTATGACAGGGTTGTCATTTTGGTAATCACTGGAGCATATGCTTAACGACTGCTTGAACTTAGGCTATTTTCTTAAAAAAAAAGTTGGAAACCATCTAAAACTCACAATCTAACAGAGCTCTACTACATCAGAGGGCCTATATTAACTTTGCTGCACAAAAGAAAAGCTGTACAATTCAGCTGTTGACAATTAGAAAAGGAGGGGTAAAAAAGAAATATTGGAATCATAAAAAAAAGTTATCAGGAAACAATCAGTTGTGAAATTTTGTGTTTTATTCTCGGTGAATATGATGCTTATAGATACTGGAAGATGACCAATTAAAAAAAAAGAATACAAGAGATGTTTAGACTGAATCTGCCATTTTTATCCACCTATTGAGTCTTTCCCAAGGATCTGGAATAGACAGATGTTCTTGTTTGATGGTATTAAATAGATCATTGCTGAATGTAAGCTGTTCCAAGTAAAGCAGCCTTTTGCAATTGACTACTTGTGATTTTCACTGCCAGCTGCCCACAATGAAAGTCAATGGTGATTGCCGTATGCTGCAACTTCATGGGATTCACTTAATAATGGCAACTGGGAATGCTGGGACTGCTGTCATAAGTCAGTGTGGTCACGTGATGCTGTGCTTTATAACCACACTGTTTAGCAAGGGAGTTCCAGTCCCAGTAAAAGACGATTACCTGTCCTACTAGCATTTAGTTGCCTTTCCTGTCAGCAATGAATGAATTGGATGAGGAAATGCTAACTTACTGATGACTCATCACACCTCCATGAGCCCAAGGGGATATAAGGGATGATGTGGATGTTCTCTGTAATTACTGCATGTGTAAAATGTGTTCTACAACATAACTTGAAAAACATGACAAAATCTTTTTGATTGTTTTAGGAGAAACTTGTACAATTTGCTGTCCTCTGCAATGTAAGGCATCATTCCAAACTACTGACAAGGGTAAGTTTACATGCCATGCAATAGAGATTCTGGATCAGATTTACTGGCTTTGTGCTTGCTTTCAAGAAAAATTCAAATGGCTTGCTTTTCTTAAAAGTCTGTGGATAGTTTGGGGGCAAGGATATCCTAAAGCAGTGTTTCTCAACCTTGACAATTTTAAGGAATGTGGACTTCAACTCACAGCATTGCTGGCTGTGGAATTCTGGGAGTTGAAGTCCACATGCCTTAAAATTGTCAAGGTTGAAAAACACTGTCTTAAAGTCTGCTTCATCTTAATTGTATCTACCTGTAATTTGCAATGAGACTTTCATTCCCTTATGGCAGGGGTAGGCAACCTTGGCTCTTTTATGACTCGTGGACTTCAGCTCCCAGAATTCCTAAGTTAGCATGGCTCAACTTGGAAACCTCTCCCTTTCCTCTCAGCATGGCTGGTTCAGGAATTCTGGGAGTTGAAGTCCACGAGTCATAAAACAGCCAAGGTTGCCTATCCCTGCCTTATGGGTATGAAAAAATGCTCCTCACATTTGTGGTACCTGGAATATGCCAAAACAGATTCTCTTCTATTATTCTTTAGATGCTGTTTAAAAGCTACATTGTTCCATTAAACTTTTAATGCTGTTCTTGTTTTATTTTTTTATCTGGATTATGTACAACACTTGAAGCACCCACTGGTTGGAGGGACAACATGTAAAGATGTCATATAAATAATATAGTTACGTCTTCCTTTTTAGTCCATTCCAACCCAGAAAAACATCAAAAGGTAGGTGAAGGAGCTCAGAACTCTGCCTGCCTACCCATAGGTCTCTGAAAGCTGAACAGAATGAAAAGCGCTTTTGTATATTAGGAGAAATGAGCAAAAGAAAGACTGAGCTCAGAAATAGTTGAATCACAGCAGGGCTGCAGGAAAAAAAAAATTCCAGAAAAAAAATCCCTAACATATACCTCTGGGAGAATCAGCTGGGCAGCAGCTCCAAAGGCTGCCACTGCCTCCATTCCAGTTTTCTTTTTCTTCTGGCCACATGAGACCAAGATGCATGCACCTCTCCTGGGCTTTCCATAGATACACCCAGAGACACAACACAAGAGGAAGGTAGACCCACACAAGTACATGCATTGTACACACACATACATAGAGCCTATGACTTCAATAAACTGGAAAAAAAAAATACAGAAGCTTCCTATGGCTATTGCTAGTAAATAGGTTGGAAAGAATTCCAGGAGCCACATTTTATATGCTTTCCTTATTGAAGACAGCTTCCATTGTTCCTTCATCAGCAATAGCCTGATTTTTTTTCTTTTTAACTGCAGCAGAAACAATAGGATTATACAATTTGCTTATGTTCATCCACCCATGAGAAAGCAAGAAAAGTAGGGGGGGGGGGAAGGAGAGAAGAATGAGCATGCCAAACAGATTTTCCAGTTTGATAGCCCTGCAAGCCAGAAGGAAAAGTTGCTGCTGCTGTTTGTCCTTCTCAATGGAGGCCTTCAGAATGCTTGATAGATAAATCAGAGGAAGACAAAAAAAAAAAAAAATTGTTGAGGGGAACGTCACAAAAAGCATAAGAAAAAGAAAGCAGGTTTTTTTTTTAATGGCTGCAATATTAAAAATGCTACACCTCAGGGCAAATTGTCTCATGATTTAGATCTGTTGCATAAGTACATCTCCAATTTTAAAAGTAGGAAATCTGATGAATTACTGACATGGATGAGTGGATTATGAAAGTGCTGTGTTAAATAGCATACAAAAATGCGGAGGAGCAGCTGAAATAGAATAAATGGACTCATTACTAGGGTTGTGTATTAGAGAGATGAAGTAGTTTAAGTTCCTCTCCCATGAAGTTCTTCCAAGATTAAGAATGTGCCTCTCGTGTTTCAGGCGCAGAGGAATAAAAGCAGAGAGAGAACGTATTTATAGTCACAAGAATACACTTTCCATGAATGGCATGGATTCTTTTGATTAAACCTCACTGAATGATTAAAAACACATGTTTATGATTTTTAAAATATGGCCTTCAAAATGTTTAAGTCGGGGTGTCCAAAGTTTGGAGGCCTTTGAAATGTTTTGAATGTCGTGGGCACTCCCACAAGGTGGCTCTAAGGAGGAGAACATGCCATTAACTAGCAAGCTGGTGAACCATAAAGGCCACCTTTATTAAAAGGAAAACCAGTAACAATGTTTTCTAGGATAATCTCTAGCTGCCTGCCATCCCTTTATCTTCTCTTTCTAGGCATGTAAGAACACTTAACAGTGAGTAGCAGTTCACTGCTTTTTATTTGCTAAGAAAAGTCTGCAGGTGTATAGGGAGGCGTAAGGTTTCCTTGCAATTCACAATGATTTTATAACCCCGACTTTTGCTTTTCAAAAACAAGAGTGCAAGAGACTGTTGCAGCAGAGGGAAAAGATGTGTGGCACAATGGGACTGGCTGGGGAATTCTGCTGAGGTTCACATATCTTAAAATTGCTAAAGTTGGGAAACACTACTTTACAGCATCCTTCTCCATCTTGATATCCAACATCTTCATGATAATGGCAGTGTACAATGATCAGTGCAAAAAAAAAAAAAAAACCCTTCCCTTCCCAAAGTCCAGAGAGAATCAGTTTATAGAAAGTTATTTTGTACTTGAACTTGAACTTGCCAGTAGAACAGATCTGTTGTATCCAGGGATTTGATTTTCCTGGCCACTATTTTAAGCAGTTGCTTTTGACTTGGTTTTGCCTTCTTTGATCTGACAAAGCCAGATAATTCATTTGACCAGTTTCAACCTGAACTGACCTAATAAAGACAACCCCAGCTGGTGCTGCTGAAATCCATATGAAACAAGCTAGGAATGTGGAATTAGTAGGAATTTGCTCCCTCAAGTGAATAAAAAGAACAATCTAAATTGAAGTCATTATTGTTATTTCAGCTGCAGAATTAATCAATTCAAATATCAGATTTCACTTTAAGAAAACCTCATTATTCCATATTTTTAAACACAAGTCTTCTTGTATTATTTATTGTTCAAGAAAAAACTGGATTAAGATTTCTGGAAGTTTGAGGGTTTTTTTAAATTATAATTCTGAATTTTAGAAAACTGAAGTATAGATTGGCTATCACTGTAGCTGAAACAATTAATCTAAATGATCCTTTAACCCAAACCCTGGGCTGTGGCCCGTTCAACACTGGGCTGTGGAAGTGGCGGAAAGCGGTGGGCGAGCACACGTGCACAGGCTCCACTTGCACGAACAGTGGGTGAGTGTGCATGCCCAGCTCAGTGTGTCATAACTAGAGTGCCATAGATAATAATGAGATATTGGTGTAGAATAGTCATTCTTTAATTGCTCAGTTCTCTATATTCTACTCAGGCTAATTGGAACCAATTAAGTTTTAAGGCTAAATCTTGCTCTCTTTCCTTCTTCCAACAGTCAAACTTTCAGAGATTTTAACAAACTCCTCCAAAGTATAAGCAAATGCTTCCTTTCCATGGTGTAATATTTTTGCTGCAGTGGAAGAAAAGCAATTCTTTCAAAAACAACAACAACAGCAAAAAAACCCAGAGCAACAAAAGAGGAAATCACAAAAATGCAATAAAATGATTAACTTTCCTAATACATTTAAAATCAGAGTGCCCACAGGATACGGTAAAAGAACAACTCAAGATGGCAATCAAAACTGCCAGGTTTTTCTACAGGTGGTGCCTGAACAATACACATAAAAAGCAGATGAATCTTTGATTGCACCCTGCAGATACATGTGTTTAAAATCACACATCTTGGATTTGGGGCAACTGCTTTAATCCATTCAAAGGTTATAAATAGGATTATTCCTTAAATCTTCAGTCAATTCTGGAAAAAGTCAAAATTTTAAATATGCTGGACTAACACATCAGTTTCAATATAATGTCAAAGACTGCTGTCTTTACAGTTGTTATGCTTCCTAACAGCAAGACCCTTTAAACAGAAGGGGCTGTTTTGTTTTTGAATATAATATAGGACTGCTGGAATTTATATGTAACTTAGCAACTTTATCTGGGGAAAGTAACTAGCACACCAGGAGTTTGGAGATGAATAAGAGGCTGGATCATCCAGTTAATGTATTTACCTCTTGCCTTTGAGTTTTGAATATATATTTTTAAAAAAGAGGATTTTACTGAAGGACTGGCTGTAACAGGACTGTATCAGTACAAAAGAGGTAAGATATTTTGGCATGGAGGATGTGGGATTAACATGTTTCATAATACCACAAAAATTCATATCAAAGATTAATCATATTCCACTAAGCTTTTCATCAAGCATCTGATACTGAATGGTACTAATGAACAAAGAGGTTCCACTTGGCTACCACAGTTAATAGCTGTTGATCACAGAGTCAGAAAATTAGAGTAGGTAGAGATCATTTCAGCTACTAACTTAGCTTTTGTGTAGTACAGGAATCTAAATTAGCATTATCTTCATGACTAGATGGTTGTCTAGCCTCTGCTTGAACTTATCAAATATAAGGAAAACTACTACCTCCTTGAGTAATGGCTTCTATTGCTAAGCTGCTCTAATAATTATAATTGGGGTTTCCCATCTAACATTTAATTAAATCTGGTTTCCTATAGCTTAAATCCATTATTCCACGCTTTCAACTCTGGAACAGTGGAAAACAGATCTTGTCCTTCTGTGTAAAGAGTCCTATCATATTCCCTTTCTTAGTGCTGTAGAAGCTGTTTGTGAACTTGACTAATCTCTTTCAAAATCATCCATAAGCCATATCTCAGACCTTTCTGAAGTTCCTTTTATGTTAATAGAAACTTTAAAGGACAGTGGAGCTACATTCATTGGCTATACTCCCAATGTCCCTTATGGTGCCACTTTAACCTTAGCATAATAAATAGAAAGAATATAAGGAGCTATTTTATGTCATCTAAAATCATTAGGTCTGTTTAGCTCAGTACTAACAGTTACCAATGTAACATCTCTGAAAGCATTTTTTTTCATCCTTCCATTGCCAGAGATTGAACCTGAGATCTTATGC